AAATAGCTACTCTGATCAGTGTTTTTCGTCAACCCGATATATCGGGTACGATATCTAGTCGCTAGCTATCATACTCGATATAGCTAGCTAACTCAATAAAAGTGGTACGGATAGCTAGCTACCACAAGCCGATATTGCTCGATAGCATATTTGTATAGCTAGGTATTCTCAAAGGCATTTTTTTACTTGGGCAGCTGCAACTACTAACTAAAGCTTCGACAACATAAGGTAATTAAAATGCTGGTGTTGCTGTGATTGTCTATTTTAAACTAATATATTTTTTAGCCACAACTTCATCATCACTAAGGACGAATGGTTAATACCAATACTCTGGTGAAACGTATTGTCATTTTATCCCAGTAACTCAACAGACAAAAAACTAGTAAAATATTCTTTTTCTTCTTGAGAAAATTATGTCGGACTTATTTGTATTTATTCAATTGTTTCACTTTTAAAATATAGGAATCAACTCTCCTTTCCAAGATATCCCAGTCACGATGTTGTATTCTTTTGATTTCTTCATTTTCTTCATGGTTTCTTTCTTTTCATAACTAAAATCTCTTCATTCAAGAACATTGCCATTCGATAGTCCGAGGGTTGATCGAATGGTGATATATTATAGTTAACAAAAGATGCTGATTTATTCGTTATAGTTATGCAATAAAGAGCGTTACTCAACAAGTTCAAACAGTATGAAGAGTCACCATATCTTGAATCTTTATAAAAATTCTAATAGTAAAAATAAAATAAATTTTCCGAAACTGGTGAGCATGTCAAAGCTTTTCGGTTCGAAAAACGGTTGTAAAAGTAGTTTTGTGCAGTTCACGAACAGAACACGGTTTTACTAGCTCTAATCGCATTTTTTTTCAGATTAAATAAAGGCACGTGGTGTACTCCGTTTAAAATAACAACTCAATTTTCAGATAGTAACCGTGATTTGTGGATCCGTCGTACGGTGTGATCCATCTTTATACATTTTCTTAAGATATTTTATCCTGAATGATTTTTTAGCCTTAGGTACCTTCGTGAATACCTGTTTTTCGTATTCATTGTTGTCACGTTTTTTCTATAATCATTAATGTTACTTCAGTGACTGTAGCAGCTACCTGAAGTACGCGTACGATATGTAATGTTGTAGTTATGAGTGCGAAACAAAACCCATACAAAAAGACTATTTGCACACAACTAAATGAGCCTTTATTCATAAGAAACCTTTTGTCGTCATTAGATTATATGTATGCAGATGGTAAGGAATCAACTAAACATTTCTTTATGCACTGTACTCGGTATGATGCCCACGGCAAGAGATGTTACAGTTCCTCGTGAATATCCTAAAAATAAAAACGATAACAATTATACATATATCACTATCGCTTGATGTATTGTGGGTGGCAGCGTGATCTAAAGTAATGAATCTATTTAAAGTGATTTTTTAAGTACTAACTAATGTGAATACCAGAGGTACAGGCGAACGAAGCAATTGATGGTGTCGACGTGTTAGCTACTAGAACCTTGGTAGATATTGTTGCTTCGTTCACAATATCTAGTTTATAAATACTTAAATCGAGCACATTAGGTTTCTGACGTTTACGATAATAACTCCGTTTTGAACTCATCTAAGCATAATTTAATGGCTAATTGTTCACATTTTGAGATCAGAATCGAATAAGATGAATGAAATACGCATACAAACTGGCATGGGAGAAAGAACAGATATCTCTTTACTTCTTTACAACAAAGAAAGTTGTTATCATTGTATTCTCATTTGACGAGAGTACTGATTTTTATCTGTTACACAAAACAAAAAAAACAGAGCAATAATTATGTTTATACATAAAAATGATATGGCCTATTTTGCGTATAAATGATTAGTGTTCATTAACAATGTTTCATTCTAATTTTCTTTTGTTTCATCGTCATCTTCACTATTATCATTTTCTCCTTTAGAGTTTCTTCTCCTAGATCATCATCGTTTTCTTCTGCAACCAACTCATGTTGCTCTCCAACAATCTTCTTCGTTTGTGACTTATGTTTCTTATCACTCTTTTGATGTCTACACATCATTGATATACACCCACTAAACTGGGTTTGAGTGAATGTTTCACCAACACTTGATGATTTTACATATGCTAATAAAAAAACTTAATTCAATTCAACACCTTGTTAGGAATACCTCATGCTCTTACCGAGTATATTTCTCATCAATTCTGCATTCATAGAGGATAAAGTATTATACGTCATATTTCCAAAATCAACATTTTTATAACAACTTTTAACTAAATTGACAGTTCTTTTCTTCCAAGTTTTTGAAATTGACATTACTTTAAACAGTTCAATACCAGATACTGGTAATTTTTCCCCATCCTAAGAAAAACAAAAAGGAAAAAAAAGAGATATACAGGATACAGTCACGCTGTTCAACACACTATATTTGTATACCTCAGTGGCTCGAGTACTTGCAATTCTGTCATTTAAATCGATAACAGATACCACATTTCGAAGATATAACGACTGTTCCGCATTTGGATATGCCAAAAGATAAGCGAGAAGCAATGTTAGAGCTAATTGATATCCAACCATAAAAAAGAGTTATACGGTCCTTAACGCTTACGAATTGATATTCTTTTTAATTCAGCTAATTGTTCTTCTAAATAAATTATTTTTCTTCGAGCGTTTTCTAACTCTTCAACAACACCTTGAGATAATGCAACTTTCGATGGTGTTTGTATTGACGGGTTGGGGATACTTGATGCTGCTGACAAAGTCATCACATCATTTTTCGATATTATATTGTTTACATGTGTTTCATTAATCGGTGGTGCATAATTTTTACCGGTAAACGTTACTGGTGTTTTTTTTGAGGTAGGAGTTGTTGCTTTTAGAGGAGTAGTAGTAGAAGAACGATGCGTAGTTGGGGTACCTTTAATCTCATATGCTATTTTTTTCGCTGGTGATGACCCGAAAGACATAAACGAATTTGATAACACCAATGGTGACACGTTTCGTTTGTGTGCTGTTTTACTATTAATTCGGGCGTTGTTAGGGTTCTCAGCACTTATCATTGATGAATCGCTGTTAGATATATCGGTAAACAAATCCTGAGAACGGCCAAGCCACGTAACACAATCGACTTCCTCAGCATCATAAAATTTGCAATACTCCTGACATTTGGCCTTAGGTCCTTTAATGACAATAAAAAGAAACTAAGTAGTTATACAGAAGAATCCCTGAAAACCTACCAATGTAAAACACAAAACCACGTTTTCTTAGGTCGCGTTTACTTGGATGAACAAAAAAATAATCTTTGTTAATGTTTGTTCCTTTTGTGAATACCGCACTATGAATAAATGATGATGGGACAAGAGAAAAGGTGCCTGTTGGTTGATTTTCAAAAGTAACAACACAGATAGCTAAAATCAGAAAAGACACCAATATATATTTGTGTCACTATGTTATAGCTATATAGCTATAACATTGTGCCTCCTGACTCAACTCAACTCACGAGGGGCAACAGAACCAGACTTTAAAGACATAGTTTCAAATAAAATAAGAATTTTAAGTAAAATAAAAATTTTCGATTTTTTAATTTTTGGTAATTTATTTTGTGAATTTTTTAATTTTTACTGTGACGATAAAGAACTCTTGCGATTTTAAACAGCGATTGCATACGCTCAAAAAGACAAAAGAATGACAGAAAGGAAAACGCTCGTGTCCCTGTTGGTGCATTCAGTTCTCCAATACCGATTGATTATAAGTTACTTATTAACCACCAATGCAGTACATAGAAGGAGATAATTATAGACCGTTGCAGAGGTTCTTTCACACATTTTAATCGAATGTTATTGAATAAATGTAATACTCAGAATGAACTTAGCTTTACTATGTCTCGAAAGCAGTTTCGCAAGCTTTCGTTTGGAAGAAGAAGGGTGAATAATATATCATATTACATCTTTGGTAACCTTCAACAAAAAACTAACTTTATTGGTGTCTCTTGGCGTAACAGTTTGAGAGAATATTTCATTAAGCACGTCGAAAATTCTTTCGCAAAAAAACATTGTAATAATTAAATATAGTTACTCCAGATGTAACTGTATCATATTTTCCTGTTTTAATATAGTAAAAATTCTATTGTCAAACAATTCCAGAAGCTAAAGTATTTTCCACTGGTCAAGAATCAAGCGTCTGCCGAGCAACAATTTGACTTCGGCTGATCAACAGCAACGACTAATCAATAACTCGACTACATACCGACTACTCGAGAAAAGGGTGACTAGTCGACAAAGGTTTGTTCGACCCATCAATACTTTCGACTAGTCCATAATTCGACTACATACCGACTACTCGGGTAACATGTCGACTAGTTGAAAAAGAAATTTCGACGCTTCCGATTAGTCAGCATGCTAGTCCATTCTGATTTTACGTTAGCTTGGGTAGGATTATGCATTGAGATAATAATCCATATATATATATATATTGTAGTACATTTATTACAGTTCATATATTCAGTTTTTCTTACATGAATATCACTGCCACCACATGTGTTTTCTTGATAATGACAAATATTTTGTCGAAACATCGAAATAAATAAAAAGCTGTTTTGATTAATAAAATGCGATTTAAATTAGCTGTATTAATATCTACAATTCATGTCTTTCGGTCACGAAATGATAACTAAGAGATTATGCATAAATACAAAGAGTGTGGTGGCAATTCTGTGCTGAACAATAACATCAACAGCGTGGTGCAGTGGAAGCGTCATGGGCTCATAACTCAGTGTGACTGTTCGTTATTCACATAAGCTCATTTATTTTGACTATCCTACTTTGAACTGATTAACGACATATACAGACGATCTGAAGGTCGGTAGATCAAAACTACCTACCGCTACTTGTTTTGTTCAACTAAAGGTATAAATGATTTAAACTGACTCAGATGAGATAGAACGAACAATTGTCTTTCTCGTCGTTTGGAAAACCGACCTCTTTTTGCTTTCACCTTTCGACCAATCAAGGATTAATTGTTTTGTCTGTACAGAACGAAAGTACCAAATTTCGCATTGCTGAATGAGGAGAGAATGTCAACTAAGTAGTTATGCAATCGGCTAAGCAGAACTGACACATCAGAGAAGCATATGGCGTCAACAAGTGGCGATGAAGTTAGAAGCACGTAGTATTTTTTAAAGTAGAAGCACTAGAGAGTAGCTTAAGCAGTACTTTTTTCTTCCCAATTAACATAGTAGCACACTTTTTAGGACTCTCGGACCATCCCAAGCAAACATATATGGGAAAAATCTAGATACATTCGCTATAATCGGGCGATACACGACTAGTTGTCATCTAGATTACTAGTTGGAAAAGGGACTTTTAACTAGTTGCGTCTGCATGTGTATCTAGCAATAGTTAAATCGATCGATTATCGGTCGATAAATCGATAGTTGCAACCAGAAAAAATCTAGTAATAGCTCAATTACTAGATTTCCACTGTCGTTACACAGTAGTTGCAATCGAGTAAAAATCTAGTAATCTAGATGAGTACTGCATTTATTTTTGACGCTCGAAAATATTCGCTAAAAATGTTTTTGAAAAATTCTTTGGAAAGAAAGTTTAAACAGGCTCTAAAGTTCAGCGCGAAGCACGCACTTCTAGTAGTTCTAGACGATTTAGACGCAAAATCGTATTGGGTCATTTCCTTACAGAAACCGTTGCCCCTCCTTCTGATAAAATTATTTGTAAAAGTTGAAAATCATATGAACAGTGTATAGACATTACATTTCTCATTGTTCAAAAGGTTGGTCTGCCTACTGGCCCGCATCTCATATGGCCTTCTTTCGTGTTTTGTTGCTGTTGTTGGGTTTTATTGAGTCTCAGTGGAAAACGATAGTTGATGACAAAGTGGTAGATGATCCGTCGCATATGAATACCTCTTTTCATCACTTTTAAAGTCTTTTAACAGAGTATTCTTGTCAATAAATGCTTGTTGATCAACTATTTTTCTTTGTTGGAGATTATCCAGCTCATTTCGTTCTTCTTGGACCACTTCATTCAGTCGATTTTGGATCTTCTCAAATATATATTGATTAGAACTTGGATCGAACCTGAAACCTATTTGTCTTTCTATTTCTAACTGTATTTTACTATTTTTTGGTTTACCATTTGTAACAGCACATGGACAAATTATATGATCAATTTTGTTCCCTTTTGTAGGTGGAAAGCATTGAGTGAATGAATCAAAGTGGGTTCGAAACGGTTGAGTAATCATAAACATTTTATTTTTTAACGGTTGAAATGTTAACCTTTCACTGTGAAAATTGCTTAAAAAATGTTGATTTATAAGCTTTATTTCCATATTAAAATCTCCACAAATAATAGGCACGATGATTCGATCTTCTCTCCCATGTTCTGTACTAATTTTTTCGTAAATGATTTGAATTTGAAGACAAATATCTTCCATTTTTCTTGAATGACTTCGGAAGTAAGGTAAGTGACAATTAAATATTAGAAAACTAATATCACAACAAGCTAATTTTTCAAGTAAAACATAAAAAATATTCTTCGACCTTTCTAAATGGACATTTCCGCCAGTAATATGTTTATAGTGTAGTTTTTTGTATAAAATAAATAATAAATCATAATCTGGACGAGAAGGTAACTGATCTCTATTATGAATCACTTCATAATCACTAAAATATGTTTCATTTTGACAAGTTGCTAAATTACTAAAGTCACTTTCTTGTAAACAAATTATATCTAAAACGTTCGTTTATTGACGACGAGAACAGGTAACGCCAGTTTCTTCTTAACATAAGAAATGAGTACCAGTAGAGCCAAGAGAAAATGGGAGAAGAACGATGACGTTATGAATGAACTTGTCATCAGAATGATAAAAAAACGAAAATATTTGTACGATATGTTCGAACCTTTCACAACTATTAGGAATCAAATGAGATACATTCTTTCTACAATCTTTATCAAAATGATGGATGTGTTTGTCTGACAGAATATTATGAGTTGTCACACTAATATTAAATTCTTTTTGCATCGATGTCTTCATATCTTTTTGTTCAGCAAATGCCATAATTTCTGATGTTTTTTGGTTAGTTGCAGAATATACGATGGTAAAAATTTTCAAGAATGAAATTTTTTGACCGACTTTACACTGAATAGATTGTTTTGGACGTAGAAAGATAAAAAATAAAAAAGATTATTTTACCTGAATAAAAAGAACAGCATGTCTAACTGGGTTTCTTCTTATTCTTCGTCAACAACATTTGTTTCTCTTTTCTTTGCTTTTCTTTCATCATCGTTCTTATGAGCCTTAAATAATAATTCTTCTCCACGATAGAGGACTACTGACACACTTACGAATAACATGTCACCGGACAGAAAAACAAAGTTCATGGAAAATAAAAAGTGCCTTTTCGTATTCGGCACGCTCGATAACCCAGCAGATTATTTATTTCTGGTAGGGTTATTATCAAAAGTTTAGGAAAAGGACAAGTGGCGCTAAGGCCACTAAAGCCATTTTCTTGCCATTTGGAATCAGCATCGAATCCTGAACAAAATAGCTCAATTAGTTTTCCAAAAAACCAGCTTTCATTTTGTTAAAAAGTTTTCACCCCTATAATGGCTCCCTTTGGTACATCGTACAATTTTTTGTCCCTACTTTGTATAAAAACTACACCGTTCGATTAAGCATTTAACGCTGATCACAAATATTGTTTTGGTTTTGGCAGTAAACTTTACTGCAAAAGAAAAAAAGGTTTTTTGATCTGATGTATTTTTGACTGATCTCCCGTTTCGGCCATCAACCGACCCTGAAAATACCGACTCCGGTCCATTGGTTATTGACTATGCAGATTCCAAATATCACCATGCCAGCTATGCATAGGCCTTCAAAGACGCGTTTTCTGGAAAACCAGCTTTTTGAAAGACTCTAAAAAATATCTAAAACCTTTTTAATGAGGCGTGATTGTAACCGGCAAACTTCTGATTAAAATGAGACATCTTCCAGCTCTACATGACCTTTCTTTGCAAAGTTATAGAATTTATAATAAAAGCCCTAAATTAATTTCTTCTTATTTCTGTAGCTTGAGCTGACAATGAACATTCAAGGCTTTCCTTGTAACTTCTATAACTTTGAAAGCTCATGTAGAGCTGGGAGATGTCTCATTTTAATATGTGTTCTTCGTACTTTTCTCAGAATGAAACAACTTTGAAGGAAAGTCTTAAAGGCGTTTGGTAATCAAAAAAATTGACACCCGAGCTATTTATATATAGAATGAAAAACTGAACGAAAGAAAAACGAAGATGAAGAAGTTTCTGCAGAAATTCGAACTCTGTGCATAAAGGGTAATAATTTTCTCCGTATGTCACTGTATCACAGGAACACACAACTAAAAATATATACTTTTCGCTCTATTCTGATTAATTAGTGAATTGACTTCAAGAAGTTTAAGTAGATTAGTGTAATTAGGATTATTGTTCATTGAAGGAAGTATTTCACAAAGTTCAGCCTAGAGACAATGGTACGTAAA